AGCCAAGTTTCTCCAGTAAACCTGAGGTTCTGTCTGTGAGGAGGGAAGAGAAGGGTACTGGGGAACAAGATCCAGTTCCCAGTGCAGCTAATACTCAGGGAGGATGACCTCCCTTGAGAACTCAAGATCCCAAGACTCCACCTGACTGCGGCTCCTCCCTTCCCTTGCCAACCCCAACCTCCTGCTAAAGCCTTTAACCAAGCACGTCTGAGCCCTGTCCACCTTCTCAAAGCGACTCCATTTGCCACTTTTGTCGGTCAGGCGAGTGGCCTGGCTTCTTTCCTTCCTGCATTTTGTAATAACCTTGTGCTCTTAGAAGCCCTGAGATGCACGAAGATGGTTTCTCCCCCACTCCATTCCTGGGACAACTCCCAGGCATGGGACACTCTACAGGGAGGGGGAGGTCCTTGGCTGATGACTTGGGAAAGCCAGAGACTCTGAAGACAGCATGGAGCGGCGACAGCTAAAGGGGACTCAGGCTCAGGACGGGTCCTCTTGGCCTCTGTCTCTCCCAGGACACCAGTATCTAGCTACAGTGTCCAATGGCACTGAAGAACCAGCTTCAGGCACCAACTCTACACAGCCACAGGACTTCTGACCTGAGGAGAGCCTGGTTTGCCCTCGGGGATGCAGGGCCTAGGAGCAGCATTGGGGACCTTGCTGGCCTCCATGCTCAGACAGGAAAGGCTCCTGGAGTTTCTCCTCTGGCACATGGGAAGCAGTGGCTGCTTTAATGCTGGGTTCCACGAAGCATTACATCTTTTACCTCCTCCTGAGGCTGGCGCTGCACAGGCACTGGGCTAATGCTAGCGATGAATGGTAGGGTCAGAACGTTGCAGGCCCTTGCCCAAGATGGAAGGTGTGTGGCTGTCCACCTTGGATTGCCTCTATTCTCTGAAGCTGGCTCTAGGCTCCCCATTCCCCGAGTCCTTCTGGACCACCCACCTGCTCAGACAATGCCCCCCCCCACCCCACCCCACCCCCGCAGCCTCCTGTCCTCAGCATCCTCCCTCACACCATCCGGCTACGATCACAACCCCTGCATCGCTCCAGAGTCTTCTGAGACCAGCTAGCAGGTCCTCAGCTGAGCTCTCTCTGCTGACACAGGACAAAGTAGATCTCATCTTGGGAGGCCTTTAGTAGAAAGGACACAGGGCACACAGCCCTGCCTGCAGGTTACACTCAGCGGAAAGGGAATAAATAAGTATCATCCAACAGAGGTGAACACAGGCGTCTCTTCCAGATGACTTGGGCAGAGAACCCCACTCAGCACACCTGGACCATCATTGAAGTTACCATGGTATCAAAGGCCCTGAGAAGAGAATCCAGATTTAGAGCAGGACAGGCTATGGCCCTGCCCGACCAGATGCTTAGGACTCTGGGGCTCTTCTAGGGTTCAGGGAAGCAGAGTGTATATCCACCATATTGGGCAGTGACCCCTACCTCCTGACTCCATCATCCCTGCACAGCCTCCACAGGACTGTTACTCCATAGATTTTCCCCAACATGTCTCCCACAGTGAGGTCCACAGGGAGCAGGCAGTGCTACCTTTGCCCTGCACGGCTTAGGAACACCTGGGTTCTCTGTCTTAGGATCTAGGTGGACCCAAAACACTCGGATGTCTCAACCAAAGGTGTCACTAACGGGCCTTCCTGAGCCACCTGTCAACTGAAAGCAGCTCCTTGGGCACAGTCCTTGAAAAAGAGGATTCGGGAAGCAGGTTTGTACTGCCTGCGTATGAAGTCCACACCTCCTGATGGAGCACCTGCCTGAGGTCTATCCAGCTGGAGGGGAGACACCCAAGCCCAACGTGAAAGGCACACCAAGCAACAACGGGAGGGCATTGCCTCTGTAAAGGGTATGGCCACAGCATGAGCCCTTGCTGAGCCTTCTGTGGGGCCTCAGGTACCCACAGACAAACCGGGGAGACCAGATGGGTGAGCCATGGCCCAATCTGCGTGAACACACTACAGGTTTGTGTCAGCTCTAATTTAGAAAACCGGGGCTGGCTGCTTTGAAATAGTGACCTTAGGACAGTACTCATGGCTCCCTTCCTTTCCTAATGACCATGTTATCAAAAAGCAGACCCCACCTCGACTGGATGCGGTCTCCTGGGTTGTAGAAAGGGTTGCACATCACGTCTGTGTAAGAGTTATGCAGCTTCCGGAACATCTAAAAGAAGAACAGAACACGGTTTAGACGAATGTTGCAGCCCCAGTGAGGAAAGGGAAGAGCAAACACCCAGCTCAACCCTCTGCACTTACACTGCGGATCTCATTGTCCCGAAGGGCTGTGTTGGAGGAATCTACCACCATGACAAATTTCACCTTGGAATTGGTCACATAGCCGTACCTGCATGGCTAGTTAAGGAGCCAGCTTTGGCACGGAGGCTGTTATGAAGGCATACGACACACACCACATCACAACCAAGAGCCTGCAAGCCTGGAGAACCTTGTGAACCCTCATTTCTGAGAACCCTAGCACCTCGAGTCAGAGGACGTGCACATGCAGGGGTGGCTAAGCGGTAACCACGCAGGTGTGCACCTAAACTGGAAACGGATCTGCCTCTTTTTGAACTGATCCTGGGCCTGGGATATTAACTTTTGCCATCAGAGTGTTAACACAGTGACTCCTACGCCAATGTCACTGTGGGTAGGCTACAATTAGTCCCCATGCGAATGTCCTTGGATTCTATGGTCTTAATCGTTTGTCCAAAAGGAATGGCTAAGAGTTTACAGTGTCACATGAAACTGACCCTAACAACAGTCTCATGAAACAATCACCCTTGATTCAAAGATGGCAGCCTCAAGTGAGCACACAGAAGCCCAGATTCCCACTTTGTCAACTTGCATCCTCCTGGATGCTCGGCCTTGCTTTTCCAGTGACTTTTCCAATTAAAGGGAGAAAATGTTTAGAGGCCTCTGTTAACAATCAGGCCACCTGCCTTCCTGACCAGCTGGAAGCCCTCACAGTTTTTCTTTGCCAGTGTTTCCTCCCAGACCCTGCTCTGTGAGTGTGGGGTCAGTGCTGAGCAGTGGTGGATACACCTTGTAGTCCTCAGTTGGGTAGAGCAGGCCCAGGTACAGCTCCCTCTGGTCCACCAGCGCTTTCCCCATGGCAGAGATCTTCTCATCCACCACATCCAGAGATGTGTGCACCATGTAGTGGAACTTGAGTTCATTTTCTGTGGGAGTGCTTCGTATGTACAGAGGGTAATTCTGCAAGGAGAGACGGCGATCCGCCGAGTGAGTGGCGGCTCTAAAGACGATGTAAGAGCACTCCTAAGGTGTGCTCTCAGCCTGCCAACAACTCAACTTCTCCAAGAGCTTGACGCACCGTGGCAGGCTGCCTTCAGGAACATAACCTAACATAACCTAAGGAGGACTGTATGCCATCTGCAGAGAGTGGACTGGAGATATTATAACTGGGTGGCGTGGCATTTGCCTGACATGCACAGGGCCCTAAGTCCAGTTCCCAGTACCAAGAAGAAAAACAATATTGGACCAGAAATGTTGCTTGGTGATGGAGTGCTTGAGTCGCAGCATTAAGCCCTAGTTCTCTCACCTGTACCAGAAAGGAGGAGGAAGAAGAGGAGGGAAAGGCAGAGGAAGAGAGGACGGAAGTAGTAGAGGCAAATGCACAGGGAAAGGGAGTGAGCAGAAATGACCCCGGAATGCCAACTTTAACACAGCCTAACAACATACTCCGACACCCCTCTTCCTAGGATCATCTCTGCCTCACCAACACACTCTATAGTGTCATCCCAACTCCAGAGACACTAGCTATTTCTAAATGTGCCACACTACGGCAGCGGTCTGTTTCTCAGTGCTTTGAGCCTCAGCTCAAACCTTCCCCTTTACACATCTGACCATCCTAAGCCCACAGTCAAAAACTTCACTCCTGGTCTCCCTCATCCACTGTTCACTATGCCCAGAAATCATCTGGTTTACTGTAATTGAATGAGTCTCCAAATCGGGACACTTCAGCACAGATATTGGGACTTCCTCGTGAGTTTATCAAAGCGGCAGCTGCTTTTTCAATTGAGTTTTGATTCTGATGGGCTTATTGGGGGTGTAACTCCCTCTTTCATGCTGACAGCTTCACAGAATGAAATCTCTAGTGGTAGGTCTCAGGGATAGTCTAGTGGGATACAGGCTTCATGCGACAGGATATTGTGGACCTCTGGAGCTGTCTTAGCATCCATAATCAGCTTTCCAGAAGAAAATGAATATACGTTGGCCAGCAAGGAGATGACAGTTGGGAAGAGAGGATACAAAGAGGATGTCTAGAGGTTTGCAGGTCTTCGCAGTGATTGGAGAAGTAGGGTGCAAAAGGCATGAAGGGGACTATCCTAAAGCAAAGAAAAGCACTTGGATTCTAGGCTTACACGAGCCGCGCCAGGCTTATATTTAAATAGCACCGGCTGGGCAGCCAGGGGACGGTCCGGAAGGCGGGGCAGAAAGACCGGACGCGGAAGGCAGCTGAGGCCGTGAAAAGAACGCGCAGAGCGAAGGGTGGAAAGCTGCAGCGACCGGCTAAGCTTCCCGGAAGATCTCGAAACCTGGAGCCCGAGGCCTGCAAGCTGGCGGCAGACGGCTGTCAGCTGTCAGCGAGAGCGGGCAGGAAAGATCCTGATCATAGAGCCTGGCTGAAGGCTTGGGGAACTCAGAGTTGATAAGATCGAGGCCCGCCACCCGCCGTCCGCCGCCCGCCGCCCGCCACTCGCAGCTTCACACGCACCTCCTTGGCGATCACCGCGATGCACACCGCCATATTGGCAGGCTGTGCGCCGCATCATGTGACCCGATGTGGGACAGGCCCCGCCCATTCCCCCCGCCCGCCTCGGCTCAGACCCCGCCTCTCTTTACCATGTCTCCGCCCTGCCCCTCAGGTCCGGCCTTGGTCCCGCCCCTTTCCCGTAAGGCCCAGCCCACTCTTCTTGTCACTCAGGCGGCCTAGGCCCCACCTTTTTCCTCTTTTCCCTCGGCCCTGCCCCTCCTCTCATTCTGCAGCCAGGGGCCGCCCTACAGTCCAAAAGGAACCCTGCGGGCTGGGGACTGGGTCTGGGCTCCCCAGCGGGAACTTGGTTTGCTATGGCGGCCTGTACCACAGCGATCATGGCCCAGCAGCTGCTGCTGCTACTGAGTGCTCTAGGACTCTCGACTGCAGGTGCTCCGCAGCCCCCCAACATCGTGCTACTGCTCATGGACGATGTAAGTGGGGCCGAGCGGCGGGGGGACGCGGAAAACACAGGGCAGCCACACAGCGGATGAACCACTGTTCACCCAGGCCGGGACCCGCGTGTCACATCTCTCACTGTTTCCGCAGTGGGGGTAGGTGTTCAGGGAGGCCCTTTTCTCCTTACTTCCCCTCCCAGGAGGGGACTAACATTCGCCTCCCCTCAACAGGTGGCCTTGCTCAGTGCCTACCTCCAGCCTGACCTCTAGGGGAACTCTGAGCAAAGTCAGCCATGGAATGTCACCTGGGGGCGGGGACAGGTGTGCAGTCTGTGATCATTTATGAATTCTGCCCTGGGGCAGAGCTCCCTCAGTGTCCCTGTCTGAGGGATCTATCTCCCTGAAGTGACATGAAAGCTTAGAAATTAGTCGCATAGAACACTAGATGAGATAGAACTATCTAAACTGGACTGGACCCTGTCTTCCTCTCAGACTCAGCCTGCCAGCCCCTGTGCCCTGAGACACACACTATAGAGTGGTACCTGCCGGCTATTGTTAGAATCGGAGACACATCCAGTTCAGGATGATTTGGAACAAATCAGAGGCTAATACCTGCAGAGGCTAATTAATAGCCAAACCAGCCCCCCCACAGGGCCTTCAGACCAGTGCCCATCCATACAAAAAGGGGAGAGTGATGCTGTCTAGCGGTCTGCAGGCCCATCGGAATAGAGTGGTGCTGTGTATGGAAAATAAGTTGGATTTTAGAGACTTAGTAGGAGAAAAAGAAAGCAAACATCCCACTTGATAAACATTAGGTAACTGGTTCTTTATTAGGAAGAAAAATATATACCTAAAAAGTCCTGTACATAAGTCTCATCACCATGGAAACCCTTTCCGGCTTCTATGTTCACTCTCTGAATGCCTGGCTCCTCAGGCTCCTGTCCTGGTTGCTGACAGCAGACTTTGCACAGTAATGCGTACTACTGAAGATATATATATATATATATAAATATATATATATATATATATATCTGTATGTATACATATATATATATATAAATTATACACACACACA